CAAAAACACAGGTAACTTACAAAAAGTTAGTTTATATCCCTACTATTTTTGAAAACATCCAAAAGATCTTAACACCATATAACATTATTTTAGCTCCCACACTAAACAATAAAATCAAAAATTCCTTAAAAATCAATGAACAAAGTAATAGTAACACAGACATTTTACTTAATAACAATCTAGTCTACAGCTTTGCCTGTACTTGTCATCCTAAATTCTATTACATAGGTGAAACCAGTAGAGTACTAAAAACCCGGATAAATGAACATATTAGAGCCATAAAATATAATTACATCAACTCTGCAGTTGCTACTCATTGCAACCAAACTGGCTGTGAAATCTCACCCGACAGCATCAAAATACTTAAAAGGGAAAAAAACATTTTTAAAAGGAAATTCTACGAACATATCGAAATTATTAAAACTAAAGAAACACACAGAATGAACTTAAATACTGGTACTGTCATAAATGACATCTGGCAGCCTTTCCTAAGATGCAAAGCCCATTAAAGTTGTCCTACCATCCTCCCACCTTAACCCCCACTGTGCAATTCCCACCAACCTCTGTATATGTTACAAGGATCCCTCACTTCTTTGTAACATCTTCCATCAGACCTGTCCTCTACACATCTCTTCTGTATTTGTCACATCCTACAGGTATTCCGTTAATTTTTCATAATTTACACCTTTTTAATATACACTTTTTTAGTTTTGTGCATACCACTTTTTATTTTAACACACATTATACTATCCTCAGGTGCATGTATATTGATCTGATAGCACTATTTGCTCATTCCTCCTCCCGTGTTTAAATATGTGTATATATATCTTATGTGTAATACCAGCTTAATGGTCACTATCTCAGGTAATTGTATTTTATCATATAAATCACTGTACGCGTATACTAATTTTTTAAATGAATTCTGTAAATTTTGATACCTGTAACCAATTTGATAATTATGTAATAATAATAGGACTGAAGAGGGGCATTAAGCCCGAAATGCATATCAGTCCAAGTCAATAAAGCAACCTTTTTCCTCTTAAAGTGTTCCTGTATGATACATTCTCAACAGCAGCATTGTGCTAACCAAACACATTATTTTAATTCATTACATAAAAGACGATAGGCGAATAATCACTCTTAAGATTAGTTTTATTTACAACTAGCTATTACCCATGTGGATTTTGCAAGCAAACCCCATTTATATTCATCATTTTAACAACCATAGTAATTGTTATATAACACCTACTGCTGAGAATGATGAGAATTGCTGAGAATCAAACGAACTGTTTTCAATTTGATCGATTTTCTGTGTTTACAATTGTTCTATAATCGAACTGATATGCAATAACAAATTCGAATTTTAAATGGTTTGAACATTTGGTTAAAAAATCAAAATATATAAAAATAATTATAACAATGTCTGAAATGTTAGCAATTTAATACTCCTAAGTACTCAATGAAGACTAAACGTAATTAAAAACAAAAAATTGAATCTAAAATATTTCAGTAGAAGTCATTCTTCTGGTTAAGCCTTAATCCTCTCCCCCGCAGGGGAGTTTCGAAAAATCCTTTTTAGTGTGCGTTTTCATGATGTACCCTAACTGTGTACAAAATTTCACCTCAGGTTCAGCAGTTTGCTCTGGGCAATGATGAATCAATCACTGTCAGTCAGGACAAGTAATTTTATATATTTAGATTGAAAGAAAATAATCCTTTCACTTGACTCAACCTATGAAATAGATCTAAAATTTATAAAACTAATTCGTATGCAGAAACAAAATGTTAATTACAAATTATATTTAAGGTTAAAATTACAAATTTACTCCATTTATTATGTTTATTTGATAAAATTAAAACTTTTTTTGCACAATTCCTAAGAATAAACAATTGCTTATAACAAAGTCCAATTGCCTGTTATTAAATTGTCAAAAAGCTGCAAATTACATACAACTCAAATTGGATGATAACTGTTATTTTAGACGTACTTTATTATATCATTTCCTGTCTATACAATCTAAAGATAACATTATTAGTATAGAATGAAGATAAGATAAAAATAGCAGCTTTTCATTGAAATTATTGTTGCATTAATTAAAACACATTTAAATCAAAATATGAAATTATTATTTGCTGGTACAATTATTCAAAAGATGATGTAAAAATATTTACCATAAACAAGTACACAATGAGTTACATGAAACAGTACACATACAGGATGTAACACAATCCAGAAACAATAATTGAATCTAAGTTAAAATTGCATTATCAAATGCTTTAAATCAGGGGTGTCCAACCTTTTTGTTTCTCTGGGTTGCATTGGAAGAAGTCAAGGAGTTTTGGGCCACAAGTACATATAATATATACTTGTGGCCCAATATGGAAGTATATTTTAGGATTAACATGTCTAGATTATAATAATGAGTATTAAATCTTTATCGCAAAAAAGGATATTTTAAAAAATTACTTCTACAGACACTTTCAATTTTTACTTAGAAATAGATAAATTCATTTATTATAAAAGAGACAAATGAAAATTTATTTGAAAAACACAAATATTTGTTTTATTTGGGNATCGAAAAAAAGGATATTTTAAAAAATTACTTCTACAGACACTTTCAATTTTTACTTAGAAATAGATAAATTCATTTATTATAAAAGAGACAAATGAAAATTTATTTGAAAAACACAAATATTTGTTTTATTTGGGTTTCTAATTAATAAAAAGTGACAAAACACCATTTTAAAGGTGCATTTTCATTCAAATAATACAGTATATTTATAAATAAAATGTAACCCAAGAAGTAGCCAATGCACAAAATGATAATTTCTACGTCAAACAAAAAAAAGTAGCCACATTTGGTGCAATGTAGCCAAATCTTGCAACGTTGGAAGAAATACTATTAATAAATAAAGCTGGAGTTGTGACTCAAAGGATAATAGACCCACATGTGGGGAAAGGAGAAAAGATAAAGAAATGAGAAAGGTTGGAAAATTAAGGGTCAATATTTGCATAACATAAGATCTATTTAACTTTTCTCACTACTTTTTATCTTTTGTCCTTTCCCCAAATTTGGGTCTATAATTCTTTGAGTCACAACTCCAGCTTTATTTAGTAATCCATCCTCATTCAAACATCTCCAAGAATTTGAAAATATTTCTTTTCCACTCAAAAATAAAATATGAATAAAGGTTTACGACTTTGTGAAACTTCTTTTTTGAGTTTATGCCGTTGAAATAAATAAATAATAATGAAATTAAAACATTTGTTGGTTTTGTTTACACGTTTATTGGGCCGCATTGGAACTTGCCTTGGGCCGCATGCGGCCTGCAGGCTGGACACCCCTGCTTTAAATGGTCATTTTATTACTTTTTTTCTTTATTCAAATTATTTTTGTTAACTTAATATAGTTTTTACCTCACTTAGTTACAGAAATCTTGTAAATGCAATAACCCAGTGTTTTTCAAAAAGAAAAAGACATGTGTTTGTAGGTCCTACACTACAATAAAAAAACTACAATTTCAGTGAGAAGGCTGTGCTTGTTTATTTTACAGTACAATTGGTTTTTCGATGGATATTTAGGTCTCAATAGAAAGAAAATTAAATACGTAGTTTTTAAAATCACTGATATAGTTTTAATATGGCCCTAGGGGTTGCCAGAATTTTTTAACTTGTAAAGGGGTTGTGTATTCAAGAAGGCTGAAAAACACTGCAATAACAAATGTCAGATTTCTTGATTTTTATGTAATATCTACTTGCATTAAAATATTGGAATTTTGTAAACTTTGTTTGAAAATCAATAAATTTTATTATTGATTATCAATAGCTTAAAACACTAAAGAGAAACTTTATGCATAAATATTTGAGCTGAAATATTAATCGATCATCTACTTCTAACACAAAGCAAAACAAAAGTTTTATATTATACAATATAACATTTTTTCAACTTATTACACAGTAAAATGCAACTGCAAGATTTGCAAAAACTGACGTATTTCATAATTTTATGCATATTTAAATTGATAGAAAACTTCATTGTCGCAAATAATATTGGACTTGATACCAATTTTTCCTTAAATGGATAAAAATATTCCATCATTTAGTGAAATATACAGGGTGTCTAAGTTAAAAGTTTCAGAACTTCTAAGAGGGGTACAGTGCATTCCCACGACTCAGAATCATATAGCAATGCAGGGTTGGAAATGCTTTCCTGAAGCGGTGATGTACACAGAAACAGCTAACCTCTGGTGCAGGCTAGCAAAGAAATTATGGCTGGGAATACACCCCATCGGATATTGTTACACATACAAGTGCCGTGCGGCTGGCCCACTACAATCTACATATCCATACACCAAATACATATCGGCTAACTCTGCATCCTTGTGTGAAATGACAATTTCCTGCAAGAACGCTTGGAACTTTTGCGCAATCTACCGTGTCAGGAAAGCATTTCCGATCCCACATTGCTATATGATTCCAAGTCGTCGGGATGCACCCTAACCCTTTTAGAAGTTCTGAAATGTTTAACTGAAACACCCTGTATAATTATGAATTTTAGCCAGTTAAAATCTTGTAATTTCTATTGTAGAATATTGTTTTATTTTTATTTATTTATTTATTTTTATTTCTCAAAAGACACTGTGGTCAGGTTGGTTTAATGATAATATATAAAATCCAACAATGATATAAATAATTTAGAAGTACATTATTGAATATGATTTTATATTTAAAAAAAGTTTGTTGCTAAATGGCTACATTGTGTATTGGAGGTAAAACATAAGATAATCAATATGAAAATTTTTGAAACATTGTTATTTTTGTTGAAACAAAATCCAATTCCACATTTTGTATGAGAAAAACCCTTACTTTGGATATTTACAACATGTATGACTAATGTGATCACTTCTAATATCCCAAAAAAAGGAGGCTCAAATTGAGCTAGGCATTTGAAAGAAGAAAAAAATTCTCTATTTTACATTGAATTTCATACTCTATTCTCTACTGTTCAATAGAGAATGAAATTCAAAATAAGAATACAGAAACATTTAGTAGTCATACTTTCTATCTTGCAAACTATTTGCAATCTCCATATGAAATTTAGCTTGATCTAACATTTCATTAGCTTGTTTTCCTTTATGCTGTTGAGTCCTTTTGAATAACAAACAAGAATTTACCATTACCAGGTTGAGCATATTATAAAAGAAGTCTAATATACCATTTTCTACTTCAATTTTATTTTACAAGGGCGGTTTTTTTCAAGCTCAAATGGTCCATATAACAGACAAATTCATTTTGTTATTTACACTTATTACCAAAAGTTAGGGACAAACATAGTTACTTTTCAACATAATCACTGTGAAAATTGAGGAATTTGTCATATCTGTGGCTGAGCTTTTCCATCCCCTTGTCATAGAATGTTGCTGCCAGTGAACTGAGATGGCCTTAACAACGTTTTGAAGATCGTCCTTAGTCTCAAACCTCTGCTAGCCACGTTTTCAGTTCAGGAAAGAGATGGACGTCTTCAAACATCAACAAGTTCCAAGCTGGGTGGAAGTCTTCACCACCTTAAACACCCAGCATATAGCCCCGATTTAGCACTGAGAAACTTCCACTTCTTTCCTGAACAGAAAAATGTTTCTTCCTTTTTTAAGATAATTCTAGTTAATTATCTAAGTACAGAGTACCCCTAAAGCATAATAATGATAAGAAATGGAGATAAATGAATGACCTCAGTTTTCTTTCCACGAATGAATTGCCAAAAATAGAAAATAGAGAAAAAAATGTACAATACCCAAGACAAACACTGAGATACAAGAAAGATAAAGTTTGAACAACTTGCCAAGTGATTGGATGATTGTTTTACTGCCTCAGTGAACCAAACTTGAATCCAGGTTGGCTCAAATTTTTATGAGTTGATTCAGATATGTTAGTCCTTTTCATTTGTTGCTTAGTTATCCCTGCTGTGGGCATGCCAATTCAATAATTGATATGTGAAACATCATCTAATAATCACAGAATGGAAAATGCCATAGCTAAACAAAATTGCTTGTAATTTTAAATTGTGTTAAATATTTATCCACATTGAGATGCATAAAAAATAACAACACTGAAAAATATACTATACATTCCTGCTTTTTCTAGCTTATTCATAGCTACATATTATATATCAGTAGCATTTGTATCTTTTCAGAAATAAATATTAAAAACATAATATGAAATTCACTGTTTTGATTATTATTGTATGATCTATATTATAAATATATTACAATTTTTACATATATACATACATACATACCTTTCTTTGCTTTTATAAGGCGTTTCCCAATATCTAATGTGACATAAGCAGTACCATTTAAGACAATATCTATTATAGTTTTCCATGCGTTTGGCGAAAGCCTTTCTGTAGGAGAAATAAAATTCCCTGCAGCATTATTGATGATGATATCCGGAAGACCCAGTTCGGACTCGCACCGATCTATGGCCAATTTTACGGCTTCGGGATCACGTACGTCTGCGGAAATGGGAATCACCTAAAGCTTTTTAAGCAATTTTATGCAGTTACAAAAATAGCTTAAATTTAAATTACCTTTTGTTTTGTCATATTTGTGATTTCTTCTGCTGTCTTCTGCAAAATATCCAGTTTCCTTTAAAAAATTAAATACTTTTTTTCACAAATGTAAATTCTATTCAAAAATATAGTTTCTGGCAGTAAAAAGACAATTAGAAAACAAAAGCACTTAAAAAAATAATACAAAGTATGATTTATTCAACCATATTCTAGTAAAATTAACTGACTGACAGTTCAAACGGCAGGCAATTAGGTGTATTTTTGTGCTATAAGGAAACTGAGAAAAATTTTTGAGGACCTAGCAAAGTTAAGTGGTTGGGCTCCATTCCTCATTGCAAGTCTAGTTAAATCTGCTTTTGGCAAAAATAGAGGACCTTCTTAAGGACAGTAGAGCAGACAGAAAAAATACTGGAGAATCCTGATTATCTGAGATAATGTGGAGGAATGTGCAATCCGAGATAACTGAAAATAGAATAAAAATATGTATTGTTGTAGTTATGTTTTAATATGAACAATTTGTCTTGTATTGAAGTTATATGATAAAACATAAAAGAAAGAAATCATTCTGTAACACGTTATCATTTTGAACTTTGTTTTACATATTACAATATAAGAAAAGTGTTTTCGCTTACAGGTTTACCTCAAATAATGCAGAACCTCAGTTAATCAAGGCTTAGCTAATAAGGGTTCTACCATAGTAATAAAATGCTTCTGAAGATATAAAACTAATTTTGTCTTGATCAAATATATCTAATATTGCAGATTAAAAAGCAATCAAAACTAACTACAATTTATATAAGTATAACACCCATTGCAAAGCCTGATATGTTTATAGAAGCATCACCAAACGTCTAAATAATTGGGCTATAATTTTGCTTAAATGAAAGGTTTATAATGCATTTAGACTTTACTATTGAGCTATTTAATACTTGTAGATTATGAAAAATCCAAATTTTCAGATTAATATATTTTTTCTATGTAATTCTTTTAAATAAAATTAACTTAGATAATATATAAAATACATGTTTATATATATAATTATCACACAGCAATGCATACAAAGTTGACACAAAGTGCTATGTTGGTATTACCAACATAGGTCTGATCATAGTATATAATCAGACTAAAATATTATTATTAAAATGGTAGAATATATTATTTTCCATAGATTATAATTTCTTTTTTTGTGTAGTTTATATACAGAGATGAATCAACAATCTTATCAGACTTGATTCTTACTTAGCATATATTAAAATTCTACAAAAATATTTTTGCATAATAGTTCAAATATTTGGCAATTATGAATTTATAAAATAATGTTTTGAAACATTTTGTGAATTCTATAATTATAAAATTATAGGTGCTGAGATTATTTGAATGCTAGTGATGTTTTTTGATGTGAATGCACTATGTGACAAATAATTTTGAAGGATAAAGGTTGATAATGTTATAAAATATATTCAACAATAAGAAATCTATGGCCAATTTCTGAACATTATACACCAGATTCAAGGATCCTAAAGTTATCTATGTGTAATAAAAATTTCACAAGTTCAAAAGAAACACTAAGAGACATGAAAGTTACTTCATAATTTGTTCTCTTACAAACTGGGATTGGATAAAATAGCCCAAATAAGATAAAAATGGAGTCAACCCTTATTTTGCAGCTTTTGCCACCCTCAATATGTTTTCATATATATTTTCGGATAAACAGAATTTTATATGCTTTAGAATATAAAACAATTTAATTCACTGATGATTATAAAATATGTCCTAAAATGTTTGGGATAATTTTTTGAGCTGTGAAGATTTGATGTTTTGAAATATAAAAAAATATATATTTTATATGACATACAAAAAAGAAATTGTTTATACATGTTCAGTATCAAATAATGAAAATTTTTATAAACATTTAAGAAGTTCTTTACATGTATAAAAAATTTAATATGAAACATTTATCAACTGCTTTTTTAATATTCTACATGTAAAAAAGTTCAGCGATTATTCAAAAACTGGAAAGATTGCTCTTTGATAATACTGTTTCAATTATTTTTATTCACATTTTAATTTTGATAAAATAATATTTCATATTTTATGAGTGTATTATAAATTATATTAGAAAAATAATCACCC